CATGCACTAAAGTAGAAAAAATGACTAAGGAGACAGAATTCTTGAACATTAATGAATTTAAAAATGCACATTAAATGATGTCCAGGGCTTTCCCATTTGCTTTAAATGTATTACACTGCTCCCTATAACATTGTAGATATCTACATTCTTATAGAACTTTTACAAATCATTCCAGTAAATAATACATATATTAAAAGAACTACCATAAAAACAACAAAGCATTCTTATGATTACCTGATATATCATTTATGCATGACTAACAGTACCTGAAAATGAAAAAAAAAGAATTGGAGAGGAATAGTAAATGAGTTGCATTTAACACGTGAAAACTCAAAAGGAGCTCTTGTGAAAAAAAATTCACACTGCATGGTAACTGGTGTGTGACTACTTAATACAATTTCCTTGAGACAAGTCTAATATAAAAGTGTATGTGGTGTAAATATTCACAATGGAATGATACACCCCTAAAAACTAAAAACAACAACAACGTGGGGATTCTCACTACCCCGATAATACGCCATATTTGCCATTGATGGAATGCACTTTTAATATCAAAACTATAAAAGTGGCAATGCTAAGGAGAACCGTATCACACTACCCTGTTTGATGTTCATTTTGAATATCTTCTGGAACTGTCCGAATAGGTAAAGGGGAGAAGAACAATTTGGAATTATCCAGATGAGGATAAAAAAAAATAAAAGTGCATTTATGAGAGAAAAACTGAAGAAATAAATAAAGAAGAAGGCAATACTGTCCAACAAGAAGTAAAGATAATTCAATACACGATGTGATCGTAAATGCTTTCACACACTTTTTCTTCTACCTCAAAGAAAATTGAATACTACATGTAGCAAAAGTATACATTCACACACATCATACAGTACATTAACATATAAATTAGTTCAAAGTCAATATTTCCACAACATTATTTCATAATCAAATAAAAAAATCTGAAGGCACTGAAAATAAATACATGTAAATCTTCTGCTTAGAGCAAAAAGGGGGTCAACTCTTATTCTTTAACAAGAAGGTTCACATCTTTTTGGATATAAGTGATGATATATGGAAGAATAAAATGATTCCCACAAAGGCTTTAATAAATATAGTTCTGCCTCTGGAACACAGGAACATATACTGTTTAATAATGATCATAATAATGGGTTCTTGTATAGCGCTCATGTCGGTCAGATTTGACCCTCCTGGCACTCCCGATTGTTACCCTGGCATTAGCACGGCTGCCATACGGCGCTCTAGCATTTCAAGGAATAAATTCCTACCAGGTACCCCTCTCTAACAATATTATTACTCAACATACAGTCACATAATATAGCAGAGAGAGAGAGAGGGTCAGAAAAGAGAGAGAGAGAGAGAGGGTGAGAAAGAGAAAGAGAGAGAGAGAGATAATGAGAGAGGGATTTGAGAGTATGGGACAGAGTGAGAGATGTATGGGACAGAAGTGTGGTCCTACTCAGCGAAGTGTGGGACATCGCCATTCGTTTATGTACTGGCCCATACTTCCTATCAAAATTACATAAGTGTAGACCGAAAGGCCCACATTAACTTCCTAGAAGTTTGGGGCAAAACCCTGAAGAAATGATATTCACCAGTCTTTTGATTACGGAAAGCTTTTTTACTACTATGTATATCAAACACGCTGACCTCTACAATTTGAATATATACATATGTATGTGTGTATGTATGAAACATAAGTTGTTATATCTTATGTTATTCACACTAGGTCGAATTGAACGACATTGTCCAGTATGTTATGCACCAACAGGAATGCTTGCAAGGCATCTACGGAGGAAACAAAAAAAACCTAAATGAAGAGGAAATATGGTGCTACATACATGTATACCAAGCCAGGAAAAAGTACCGTAAGCATGTATCATTAAATAAATCATGATTAACATAGTTTGTACATTACAAGATATCTCTGCAAAATTGGAAAAATATTTGATTGAATAAGAATATAAGATAATTTTATTGATTATAAACATTGAGTTTATTATAACACTTCTTTGTAGTATTTGTATTGTTCATCCAAGTAGTGATGCTCATTTTACCAACGATTAAACATTGAACAGTAGAGAGTTTGCAAATATGAATTGAGATAATTTATTTGTTTTTAACTTTCTGTTTTGAAGTAGGAGATGTTATTTATATTTATGTGCTTGATATTTTCTTTATTTATAGTCCCTATTCAAAGAAAGTCTTCTTGGGGAAAGAAGAGGTATGGCAAGGACTGCCCACTGTGTCAGGCAAAGGGCCTCGCAAAGCTCACAGATCATCTAAAAAGAAGGCACAAGGCTACATGGCTAGATGCTGGAGGACAGAAAGTTATTACTCTATTGTAGCGAAATTGGGTTGCCCCTGTGAGGATCGATTGTATTAAGGATGGGATGGGTGGTTGCCCTGCTTTGGAGGACAGCACAGCCTAGCTCGGTACATCCTGACAGAGCATTGACGAACTGGCCAAGGGAATCAAAGAGAAAGGGCAGACTGACTTGATACTACTGGACTTCAGCAAAGCCTTTGACAAGGTCTCCCACAGATTGCTCCTACACAAGCTGGAGCACTATGGTGTACGTGGTACAACTCTTCTTTGGGTCAAGGACTTCCTTAGTTAACAAATTCAACAAGTTCTGGTTGATGGCCAAGTCAGCACACTGGCAGATGTTACTCTTGGAGTCCCGCAAGGCAGCGTCCTCGGACCACTTCTCTTCCTAGCGTACATGAACGATCTCCCAGACCTTCACAGCAAGACTATTTGCTGATGACTGTGCAGTCTACAAGAGAATCACATCACCTCAGGATGCTGCACTACTTCAAGACGACTAGATGCCTTGCAGAAGTGGGAAAGAAAGTGGCTAATGGGGTTCCATCCTTCCAAGTGCCAAGTTGTTTTGTATTGTAATAAGAAACCTTGGGACATTGTATTCTTTTAAAAAGGCAGTTAAAACTATGTTATTGTTTAAGTATTGATCATGTCATGTGTAATTCTACTGTATTCATTTTCGTGTGTACATTGACTGTATATTCAACAATGATGTGTAATCGTCCATGACCTGGCATCGTTTTTTTTTCCATTCATGAATGAACCTGCATTCAATCAGCAGATGTATGAGATTTATTGTATTATTACCAACACTTCTTCTCTCCCCTTTCCTTTTCTTCTCTGCAAGTCACTCTTTTTTATTTTTTATTTGTATTGTTGTATCTAAGTTGAGGGCTGCGGGCACGTCAAGCTACTTTTGCTTATTTCTGTAGCCCTCCTGCATCTAATGTATGTTAATTATGCATTCAATATATTTGTTTAATATCGTTTATTATCTGTATAAAATTATATACACTTGAAATATTGTATCAAGCCATATTATGTTCATGAAAATGTATGATGAAAAAAAGAAAAAAAGATGCAGAAACCAATAAATCAAATCAAATCAAATCAAATAACAAACAAGCGCAAGCCTAATTCTTCAACTTACTCCATCCATGGATTGATCCATGATGAAGTTCACTCTGCCAAGTATCTCGGATTTAACGTTGACAAAAAGCTGTCCTTCAACACACATGTTGACATCACCACCAAGAAGGCTAACTCCATTCGAGCTCTTCTCCAAAGCAACTTCAACAGCTGTAGCCGCAAGATTAAAGAGGCAACATACAAGACATATGTGAGGCCAATATTGGAGTTTGCAACAACTGCATGAGACCAACACACTCAACGAAACATCAGGGAACTAGAGCAAGTCCAAAGAAGCAGCACAAGATATGTCACCAGCACTTATGACCGCAGATCAAGCGTAACAGCATTACTGAAGGATCTACAATGGCCAACTCTCCAGAGTAGGCTATGCTCTACAGAATCCGCTGGGACCTAGTACATATCAAGTGGAAACAACATCTCACTGAATCTACGTCCATCACAAGAGGTCATGGCTCACGTTTTCCGGACTCCGTACTGCAGCTCCCAAGTGTACTCTTCAAAGTGTACCAGCAAAGAATGGAACTCTCTGAAGAAAGACCCAAGAGAGTTTTTCTCAGTCGTTGCCTTTAAAGTGGCATTGAGGGATGGCACCGTCTAGCATGCAGACAAGCTACTTTTTATCATTTGAACCTCACATCACAATTCTTGTCTGCGTACTATTGACTGTGCGCGCATCAACCCACAGTGCGTTATTCTTCATTTCATGAAGCCTGCTAGGAAGAAGAAGAAGAAGTCTTTGGTAATGTGCTTATTGAATTAATATTATTTTCCGTCTTGATTCCAGGAGCCAACAATTAATGAGCATTATGTTTACATTTTACCTTCCCTTTTAAAGCCACACAGACGAGTTTTGACAGATTCCATAAGTTTGCCAAGTTTTGCTGTAAGGACAAAACAAGTGAACAACATGTTACACAGCTGAGGAATATGTCTGAAATGGCAGGTGGCCTCAATATCCTGTTCAACGATAAGGACTCAATTTACAGGTAACTTTGCCCCCAAACGAATTGTTTAAATATATGAAAGAGAAGCTTTTCAGCTGTACATTGCACCAACATTGAGAGAAAATAATACTGCTAGCTAATGTTAATCAACAATAACTTGCCTGGCACTTGACGCAGATTTAATAGAATATGTAAGTGATAACTTAAAAGATCATTGTGTGGTTCATACTTAATCTAAAAAAACATTATTCAAAATTAAATGAACCCAAAATATGAATTTGAATGACTCAAAGTTTATCTTACCCCGTCTTACTCTTTGGATATTTGCACTTGAAATAGTGCAGAATTTTCAATGACTACATGTGGTATTAAAGTGGTAGAGGAGCTTGCTGTGTTCCTATCACTCTGATCAATCAATGAATATCTCATTGTCTGCTTTTGATAAATCAAATCCACCTTTGATATTGTTTCCTTAAATGTTCTTGAATTTGTTTTGCCAGAAGTAAATGTTTTTAAAAGAGAATACAGGTAAAAGTCAAACTTGACTCCAACCTTGAAATAATGTTACCATAATCCCAGGGTTTATGAAGAGCTGAAGGCACAGTTCAGACCAAAAACAGTCAGCAAATATTTATCCAGCTTTGCTAAATTTATCGCTATGCTGAAAGTCGAGTATTCTGATGCAGAACAACTCAAAATTTCTTCAAGAGAAATTCAGCGAATGGAAGGACTTCTGATTCAGCTAACAAAGAACACTGCTCTTGAAATCAAGGAAAGAGAAGCGGAATCAAAAGACATGTTGATGGCAATGTTGAGTGGTGCTCCGAGGAGCTGTGTGCTTACGAATATGACTGGTGAAGAAGTGGCAAATGCTACTAATTGCTCTGGTAAAAGGGTCATTAAGGTAAGAGAAAAACTTAAATCTTCAAGGAAGAAAAGGAAATTATGCTTTAAAAATGTTACTTCTTTAGTACTGTTTTTACCCTCAGTTAGATGAGTATTTGTAGATCTGAAACAGTTACTTAATTCATAGAGATACTAGGAGTTGAAAGAAAGCTAGCAGAATGAATGAAGTATCTAAACTTGCAATAAACCTAAGAGAATTAAACTGTAGGATACACTTTTTTAAAGCCAGATTTTGTACTAAATGGTTTATGGTGGTATTTCATGTCAAGGAAGCAAACATTTTTTATATGACGATGAATAGTCTACTTCTCTGCAGGTGGGGGTTCACAAGACAGCCCGTGTCTATGGTAAGGCACAAGTGATCATTCGAGAGGATCAGTGGAAGTATTTCACTGTGTATGACGAAGCGAGACATCTTTCTCCTGGCGGATCACATTCAGTGGTGAACATGCAGGCACCATAAGATTCTTTCTGCCATCCAAGGGAAAAGGAGTAAACAAGCCTAGTACTGCACTCAATGAGTCTTGAAAGGACTTTGGCCTGCCAGGTAAAATCTCAACAAGGGCTATAAGGAAGACTGTGGTGACAGCAGTAAGTTAAAGACGTTGTTGTACTTCTTTTAAAAGAATGTTTCTCTTTTTGTATCCCTCTCATTTTTATCTGGAATTTCGAATGGAATTTTGGATAATTCATTTTATGTACCCAGTTATTTTTGCTTGTCCCATGAGCATAATGAAAAACAACTAGAGCTTACACTTATGAACTTGATAGATCTTGACTGTTAATATTTTAATATTTTGAATTGATTTGGACTCTAGTTTGCAGATTTCTTTATTACTAGAGGAATACATTTCACGCAGAGTTTGTCCTTGTGGGATTCAGAAGTCGTATTTTTGGATGTATCAACCATGCCACGGAAACTTAAATCTAAGGGTCGGGATGAAGCAGCAGTGTACACCATGGCATCAACTCCGCCAAAATCGAGCCCCCAGACACCAGCTAACCCACCTTCCACATCTACAGACCTAGTAAGTGCACAAGAACATTGCACACCAAAGAAAACACCACCGTCTACCCCAACCACCAGTCATGACATCGAAAAGGATTTCATGGACAGCGACAGTGATGAGGAGCTACTGAGCACTTCACTAGAGCTCTTTGAGAGCCAAGAGACCCCAAAGAAAAAAATGAATTCAGAAAAATAAACATAAAGAAATGCGGCTTACACACAGTGCTTCTATGGAAATAGTCTTATGTCACATGCACCTTCACTTCTGATCACTATTATGCTGCAAGGTATAAGACTACACAGAACATCGAATGTAGAGACCAAGTCATGGACATGCTTGTTGGAGAGACCTTCACTTCTGATCACTATTATATGCTGCGAGGTATAAGACTACACAGAACATCCAATGTAGGGACCAAGTCCGGGCCATGCTTGTTGGAGAGGTAATCATGTGTTAATTACCCATGTTTCTTACATCAAAAGTATGGCTGGTTCCTTCTTAATTAAGATATCCATGATTTTGCCTGTTAATTGCCACAAAGTGCTCTGTGTGCACTTTTATTATACCGAGATGAACTTGAGTTTGATTGTGTCCAATGTGAATTTGCTTATCAAATGTGAATTCACTTATCAAATTTTCATGAACAAAGGCCAATTTTTTAAAATGTATTCATACTTTATGCATGATCTCCTGATGAAAAATGTCTCCCTATGTACTAAAAAGCTTGTTGGGGATTGTCAAACATTGCAAAAGCTCACATATTCATGCAAATTGCATATCTCCCAAATGTAACGTTGTAAATAATGTTCCATGCAGGGAACTACAGTTTACCAAGTACTCTACTTGCAGAGAAAGAAAATGCATGAATTTAAAACATTATGAAACTTGTCTGTTGAATGCAAACTGAGAGCACTTTTGTTGTGATAGATTTGGCCTAAATTGATTTTTTTTAATAAGCTCAATACCATAATACAAAGGATTTTAAGAGTAAAAACAAAATTTGGACCTACAATATATCTTGTAAAAGAAAGGCGTAATTGATGATTCCCACACTTCCACTAGTGCACAAAAAAAATGGGCGGAGATAACACGATTTTTAAGGTGGAAGACCGTGATCCTTTCTCACCTTGTATTAGTCCCACACTTTCTCGCCCAGAGAGGGGGGGGGGGGGGGGAGAGAGAGAGAGAGAGAGAGCGAGCAAAAGAGAGGGAGAGAGAGAGAGAGAGAGAGGTATAGATTGCACTGCTCTTATGCCGGAGTAGGTTGACTGTGAGGTTGTGGGTCTGTATGATGGGCCTGAAGGAAATCGGACCGTCCAGTCAATGGCTGAAGATCTTGACCGGTCAGCTTTTTGAATTGTTCCAAGATTTGTAGCTCTCTGTCATGCATCTGAAATCCAAAACATATAAAAAATAACAATATTTTCTTTGCTTTCTTTTCTCACTATTTGACTAGTTTTAGACTAATTTATTTTGGCTAGGGAAATATTACATTCTTCATGTGTTATTACATACAAAATACAATACATGAAGTTGCATTCCTTGTTTTGCTTTGAGAGATTTCCATTTTATTTCTGTGGAAGGTTGGCTAGTATGCATTGGAATGTTATATTCCTTTTGTCTATTAAGATTCACGCTAAAAACAAATTTAATTCAATACAAGCAGGTTAGACCTAGACGATAAATCCCTAGCAGTGGACCAGCAAAGCACAGGCACACACAGTTTCCAAGCTAGAGACTATTACGACTAGCTACACGTACCTCGACCGATTTAAAGCCCCACTGCACTACTTTAGCTACTTGCGCCCTCTATACAGCCAATAATGCCTAGTACCTGTTGATCCCCCATGATGCCCTTTTTCTTATGTTAATTGAGAGCTGATTTGATGAGATAGCCACCTGTCAGTGACCACACAGGGAGGTCCAATTGTCCCTGGCCAAACTAGTGCAGACAGGCTTTAATTAAAGAACCCAGCATTGGTGTACATGTACATACAGTATAATCAAATTTGGTGGAATGCCAAAAATACATCCTACAACAACAAAACTGCTGTTTATTGATCTATATGCAGCAGCTGTTATCGTGGCTTGCAAAAATCTTTAGGCACAGCATTTGGATTTTACTGAAGAATGAAGTCATTCATTTGCACATAAAATGGTTTATTTTGCAGTGGCACTTGTTAGTTCTTCATCCATTTTATTACGCACGTATGTTAGAACCAAGCTTCAAACTTCAAAGTGTTATATTAATCCTACCATTTTCCATTGTTCTTGTGTCTTGTGATCATAACCGATAAGATGACATAGGCCATGAGTGATGATAACCTACAACAAAAAAACAAACAATCATAGCAACAGAATGAAACAGATTAGTGTAGAACATGTGCGGTGTAGAAGTTTGAACAAATATTGATTAATGCACTGTTGATTGATTATAACCTCTGAAGGTGAATTTCATAGTAGAGCTGGTATAAAAATCTGAATGTAATTTTCAACCTCTCCATTTAATCATTTTATTCCCACAGGTGCCAAGTGCAGAGTACAGACTGAACAAAAACGTGCGTATTTGTTTTTAATGTCTGAAGGGATGTGTGAGATTAAACTGTTTTTTTTCTCTTTCATTTTTAACACTTCAATATTGCTAAACGTGATCACAGTGTAGGGACATGTGCACTTGAAATGTCTAAAGGGACGTGTGGGATTATTATTATTATTATTATTATTCTATTTGGCAAATCAAGTCATACAAATACAACAATATGACGAACATGAATTGAGACAAAATAGAAAACGTGTATAGATATTGCAATAGCAGGTGCATCCGGTCAAGCTGCCCGGGTATTAAAAAGTTAACCTACTGTAATAACTATGATCTGCAGACTTTCTCAATAAATGTTTTTTTCTCTCTTTCATTCTTCGCTCTTCAATATTGCCAACTGTGATTATAGGGGAACTTATAATGCCCCCTCCCCCCCCCCCCCCCTCCCCTCAGATAGCAAAAAAAAAAAAACGTGACAAAACAGAAAGAGAAATAAATAAATATGCATATGAGGAGGTAACATTAAAAGAATTTAGATGACTCGAGCAACCCTCTCCTAATCTCTGCTCACTAGAAGGCCCAGTTGTCTAGGGAAGTTCAGTACTTACCGGTAGTACATCATCAATGTCTGCGTTGTGCTTGGTACAGTCCCTCTCGATATACCCCATCCCCAGGAACATGTCTCCCAAGTCTGCTAAGTCACTCCAGGGGTCTGGCAGGCGACCTGGCTTCAGATTCTGAGATGGAGAGAGAGGAGAGAGAGAAGAGAGAGAGAGAGAGAGAGAGAGAGAGAGGGGGGGGAGGGAGAGAGATGGAGAGAGTACATAGAGAGGGAGAGAGGGAGAGGGAGAGAGAGAGGGAGAGAGAGAGAGAGAGAGATGGAGAGAGACACACAGGTAGAGAGAGATGGAGAGAGTACAGAGAGAGGGAGAGAGACGGGAGGGATAGAGAGAGAAGAGAGATTGGGAGAGTACAGAGAGAGAGGGAGGGAGAGATAGAGAGAGATGAATGACAATTGAACATAAGTGAATTTTTAATGGATCATATTCAGAAATAATTTTTCAACAAATTCTGATTTCTTTTCTGCTATATCCTAGATCTTTTGCTCAAGACCTGTATTGCTTTTTATCTCCAGTGCTGAATCTTGATGTTTCTACAAGGTCCATATAATTCATTAAACAAATTAAGTACAGTGTACTCTTTGTAAACAATCACCCCTCCCCCTCTCTCTATCTATACCAGGAACTGTTCCTCCCGCACCCCTTCTTCTTTATCAGCAAATATTTGTTCCCAAAGATTCCTTACAATCCTCTTTACCTATAAAGCTTCCTTGCTATAGGCCTCTTCTTACAAATGTTGGACGACTGGACACCTACTGTTCAATTCCAGCCAATCAACATTATTTTGTTTACTGCTTACACATTAGTCATTACTGTACATGTATTTTGTAGGCCTACATGTATATGTTACGATACAATTGCTATGCTACTGTAAGCCTGCTATACCCAATATTTAGAGCTTACAAAATTTTATAGAATTAGTATATGACCTTTAATAGAAACTTGGCATCTACAGCAGAACTTTGGCAATGAGCTTGTTGTGTGTAAACATGTACTGTGTATAAGAAAAGATATCTATGAAACAAATATCATGTCGTATAATAGATATTATACAGTAAATCTGTACCAATCAAAAACTTGGATTTGATTTTGTTAATGTATACCTTACCATGCAAGTCTTTTTTAACTTAAGTCTTGTCATACAGTGCCCTGACTGTCATGCTGGAAAAGGTTAATCTTCTTTTTAAACATTTGAAGTGCCAGTATCTTCTACTTGAAATTTTTTCTCCAGGTAGATAAAATAAAAAATGTAGCCTATACAGTACAACTCTTTATCATTTTAATCACTCTGAAACTACATGTACACTACTTTCATTGCTATTTTCACGACCACCCTTTCCTTCTTTCAAACAAAATATTTTGTTTATGAAGCTTTATAGCTTGTCCTATGTAGATGTAAAGAGGTTCTCTCTTTACATGCAGTCTGTATTGTGTGGAGGTGTGTGCTTGACTGACCAATCACAAAGCAAGCATCTGACACACCCACTGTGTATTTTTACAATGTCATGAAAGTCACTACAAAGTCACAGTCTGTATTCCAATACAATACATGTACATGTAGCCTGTAGGGCCTACCGGTACTCCTTTCTGTGTTATCATCTGGGTACACTTTATATCCGTTTTATAAAGTAGATTTTTAAAATTCTTCTCAAAATAATGAAGAAAGTATTACTAATTGATTCATGGCCAGGCAGATATTTCTTGAAGATGTTATTCTCTTATAGATGTACTTGTTTATCCATGACATTCATGAACTATATTTCTGTTCTAAACTTCTAACCATAACAATGTACATGTAAAATAAAAAGTGAGATAATAATTAATGTACAAGTAATAATAATATTCTGCTTTTATATAGCGCTTGATACATCGACAATGTCTCTGTTAAAGCGCTGTACAGAAATCTTATTTCCTCACACCAGCATCCAAGCTACATGTATATTGATAAGTATAGCCCTATTGGCCCGAATTCACAAAGGAGGTTTGTGGACAAACCTCCTTCTGTTTCGACAAACCTCCTTTTGTTATTTACAAACCAGGTTTGTAAAAAACGTGTCAAAATGCGTCATATGACGTACATAAACCTCTGTTTGTCGACAAACCTCCTTTGTGAATTCGAGCCAATATGTTTGTGTGTGGATGCACTATTAAATATACAGTGATTTTTCTTCTTTTTTTTCTGTTAAATCAAGACAAATTTGAATTTTAATAAACTATTTATATGAAAATTAATAATTAATGAAGATACAGTATTAACAAAAAATTAAAAATATTTCAAATTTCATAAAAGATTGTGAAATGTCATGCAGGCAATATGATACAAATCATATAACCTGGGCAAATTAGGCATGGGGAAATCAAGTTCTTGGGGATCAAAAGGGAAATTAATGGGATAAACATACAGTATAAAGCAACTGATAAATAGTGAGGCAATGACGTCACAAACAATTGAGTTGCCAATTTGTCTTGTGATTTTCAATTTTTTTCATGTCATTCAAAGTTCATAATTTTCTTATTAGTTATCCGATTTTGCTCAAACTTTGTTTGCTCCTTTTTCCCTGTTTTTCTGCATCTATTGAAAGCAAGTTGTTTTTTGGAGTGGACTTAGCCTTTAAGTGATCATGCTGTGAGGCATTTGCCGTATTGTGCATGCCTTCTTCTTCTTCTCCACCTATTTTTTAGTTTTTGTTTGAGGGGGGGGGGGGAGGGGGAGGGGGGGGGGGGTAATCGTTAAGGCAAGTGTGTGATGATATGTACAACAATTATGTTGCATAATTTTTCTTACCAGTTTATATTTAATGCATTTATATTTTTATTTTAATGAATACCTACATAGTACCGACAGTGTATCATTTTCCTTTTGGATCAGCTTCAAAACTTAAAAATTATTAAAAAATTAAAAAAATCTAAAAATTATTGCATCATCCAATTTTCCAGTGCTTAGGGAACTCTGTTTTGCAGTATAGTGTGTGCAGTGCAGAGGTTTGTTTACAGTCTATGGAGGTGTGTGCATGGCTGTCCAATCACAAAGCAAGGATCAGACACACCCATGATACAATGCCTTCAACAAAGTCACTACAAGGTCATATGTATACTCTGCAGTTGCATACAGTTTACACTGATGCAGGCCTCAGACTACGTACGTGTAAGAACAAAACCAAAACCAAACATTGAAAACAAACAAAATATAAAGTCCCCCAAAACAATAACACTAGAATAGATCTAGATCTAGAACAAATCATAACATACATTGACTGGAATTTAAATTAAGCGAGGACGAAGGATGATACTTAGGATCCTATTTCCAAATAGATCTAGAGTCTATAATTGTATGACATTTCTTTGAATGCTATTCTAGATCTAGAGTCTAATATGAATACAATGGCTGCAGTGAAAAAGCGGCTATAGAGTAGACTAGATAGTAGATATAGGCCTAGATTAAAATATTCTTTCCAAACAGTTCAGATGTGAAAGTCAACAACTTCAAAATCAAAGTTCAACTTCAAGTTCTTAATTCTTCTTAATTCTTTCTTTCTCTTTCTGGCTGCAAATAGGGGTCTAGACTAGAGTCTAGTCTAGGGTCTAGAATAGATTCACAATTTGATAACAGATCTTGCCGATTATATTACAATCCCCTTTATGTTTGACCTTTAACTAGTTAAAATTTATTCATTAAAAAAAAATGACTAGATAATTCGTAAATACTCAAAAGAGTCAAAGACAAAGTCAAAGCGCCGCGCTATTGGTCTACGTGTCAAACGGACAGCGATCCTGCATCGTCGCCTTACCTCGTGGGCAGGAAACGAGAGCACGTCCGTAGGTTCATCTGTCGCCCGATATATCTTGTTCATTTGTCTGATGTCTTTATCCTCCACGCATATCACTGAAACATCGAATCTTTCAACACGAAGAATGCGACGAAGTGCTTTCAAGTCACCTTTCACCTTATCCAAGTTAAAGGCCACAGACTTCTGGAAGTTCCTCACAATAATAGACATGATGATTTACGTAAAAAATAATAATTTCCAGGAAAGATATTTGTCAGTAAAAGCGCTCCTGTTCGACTCGGTACTGGGTGCGCATTAGCATGGACTGCTTTGCTGGAGTACTGAGTACGAGTACGTCTATTGACTATGTAGCGCGTGGTCGCCGTTTGTTTACGATTTACGTGTACCGTATAGAGCGCCATTTGTAGAGATAACAATATGGTATTTAATATTTCAAATGCATAATTTAGTTATCAAATTTTAATACCATTCTATTCATATCATTCTTTATGTAAATATTTTTAAAATAATTAATCCGTTCCCTTTTCTTCAAATTTACGCGTATGTTCGAGGGCGAGGCCGGCCGAGGGGATGTAAGTTTATATCACTAAATGCACCGTACGGCGCCCCATAAATAAATATCGTCTGCTAGACCCATCGACGGATGGTTTCCATGCAGAAACCGCTAAAAAGTATTGTCTTCTAAAAAACTTCTATCAAATAAAAGAAACTGTGCAGAAGGGAGGGGGGGGTGAACCTTTCCAAAATTATTGCTGATTTCTGTTATACTCACCCGGCCCCCCCCCCCCCTCCCTCCCCGGCCCTTCCTCCCTGGGAATTTTGTTATATCACACCATTATTTAAATACTTTCTCCAAGTATGTACTAATTACCTTTTTAAAGTATTTTGAGATATAAAATTATGTGAACTCAATTCATTCATTTTCATGTTTGGACTTTAAAAAAGGTTCTAGTTTATTCAAACCCAACAAGCACCACTGACTGCAACATATCAGAAATGTCATATTGTGCAGTGTTCTATGACTATAGACTGTCTTTCATTAAAGTTATGGTTGTACGAATTAATCACCTATGCAAAACCATGGACTTTTACAATGTATATATTCTGTATAATGATCATTTGGCATTATTATATAGTCTGATTTCAGCTTTGTATGAGACTGTTGCTGTTTTTTTAAACACTTTTATTGTATGAAATGTATTACTTAGACTGTAGTCAATGAAATGTCTATATCATGGACATATATATTTGTATAGATTTTGTACTGCCAGAAATCACTGTGTATAGCTTGATACATAAGACTGCTTTTAGGTATGTCGGAAAGTGCTTTATATATCAAAGATATCATGATATATTTTGTTTATCTGAACATATTATGAATGATAGACTGAGGTACAAAAAATAGACTAGATAATCAGATATATTGTATAATTGGCATATATGCAAGTATTGCACATCTATATGTGTTCTTATCTACCTACCGATTAATTTACAATATATGTTATCCATAACTCACCAATGAAAATGTAAAATGTAATTCATTAATTTTTACAACCAGTATTTTCTGTCAAAATTGTACTTTTTACCTTATTTTCGATATGTCTGATATACACTCTCATCCTCAGCATTATCTTATATATATATATATATATATATATATATATATATCGCTTTGTCTCTCGTTCTCTCTCCCTCTTTCCCTTTCTCTCTTTCTCTCCCTCTCTGTCTGTCTCTATCTCACACTTTTCCTCGGTCTCCCGTGCTGTCTGCACTATTATCCTCCCTACCTCTCTTCTGTATTTCCCTCCAGCCCTATCATGATTGTGGAATAGAATGTTAAGCGAATTTTATGAATTGTATTAATTTGTATATATATATATATATATCTATATGTGTACACTGATTTTTTAATTCATTCACTGCGTGATATGTCTTAATACGTTTTATGTTTGTATAAATATTTATGTTTTTACAATGTACAAAGTTCTGCAATTCAACCATCTGGCTGCAAATGAATTTTTAATAAAACCATTACCATTACCATTATCAATTATATTTGTTTTTTTATTTTTAAAATGACGAATATATTTTGTCCTTTTTAAGGTTCATAAAAATTGTAATAAATCTTTGATAAAAACTGTTGTATACACCTATAATGATTTTTGGATTCTTGTATGATTCTTAGAATATGCATACCATACCCTTTTTTCATATTATGCTTTTTATCTACTCTGAGACCTGTCACAACAACTTAAAACAAAAAATGGATTTTACCCCAATCAAATGGCAAAAAACACTTACCGGTACCCCCAAAAACAAAACAAAACAAAAACGAAAAAATAGACAAATGAGCAAGAAAGGAAGAGGAGGAGGAGGAAACTAAATATGAAATAAAAATCAAAGGAATGTTTTTTTAAAATAATAATTAGTATTACATCAACCAAGTGATATAGGTGTCCCCATCATGGGGATGGGGGAGGTAACTTGCTAATACAGTAAATGGGGACGTGAGGCTCTTAATAGGTCGCTGTTGTGGTAAAAATCCCTAAAGATGGGTATGATTTTGTGATGGAAATTAAGTGTCTAAATATGATCCCACTTTTAGATCTTGGCCTTAATCATGGGTAACCAATGCAAATTAATCTCATCCATATTCAGACAAGGATTAAGAGTCGAGAACGGTACAACGAATCGTCTTCTTTCTCTAATAGTTTAGTGAAACGTCAAAGCTTCCGCGCTTCGCGCGGGAGGGGGGGGGGGGGGGTGGGGTGGGACTCAATTAAGACAAGGATAAAGAGTCGATGACGGTTTACAACGAATCATCTTCTTTCTCTAATAATTTAATGAAACGTTAAGCTTCCGCGCAAAGCGCAGGAGGGGGAAACTGAATTCTGACAAGGATTAAGAGTCGAGAATGGAACAACGAATCATCTTCTTTCTCTAATAATTTCATTAAACTCTGAAAGGCCACAGCTTCTGTGCTTCGCGCAGGAAGGGGAGGGGGGCTGAATTCAGAATCCAGTCAAGTAATAAGAGTCGAGAATGGTACAACGAATCGTCTTCTTTCTCTAATGATTTAATGAAACTATAAAAGGTCAAAGCTTCCGCGCTTTGCGCGGGAGGGGAAAAACTGAATCCAGACAAGGTATACGAGTCGAGAATGGTACAACAAATCGTCTTCTTTCTCTAATAATTAATGAAAGGTCAAAGCTTCCGCGTTTCGCACGTAATGGAGGGGGGGGGGGGGGGAGGACAGCAAGCTGCCTGAATATGAGTTTTTGATATCTTTTCTCGTTTATTTTGGTGATAAATAACACTTTCGCAAAATACATATTATGCTCAAATTGTTGCTCGCTCGCTTCGCTCACTAGCCGAATTGTGAAACCAGAAAATTACTTTTTCGGGCAAGAGGCTATAGCCCCTCCCCCCGATGATTGTGTCAAAAATTGTACTGGTATGGTGCTTCTAATATGACCATGAAAAAACGGTCTGCGCAATTTTCAAATTTCCGGCCCCCCCCCCCCCCCATTGGAAAATCCTGGATCCACGCCTGAAGTACACCCCCCCCCCCCCACCTCCAATTATGGAGGTAGGGGCATGCCTACTTCACTAGGTAGATGAAATACTAATTATCAAAAACCGACAACTAGGATGAGAGAATTCATTGATTTTTTTTTTTTGGGGGGGGGGCAGGTTCTGTGTGGATTTTTTGCCATTTGATTGGGGGCAGGGGGTGGGGAGCCACCCTGATAAAGTTGTAGTAGCAGCTGTACGGGAATAGATAAGAAGCATAATACATCATTATAGGTGTACAAAAGTGTATAAAATTTTATTACAATTTACATTAACCTTTAAAAGGACAACCTATATATATTCAAAAAAAAAGAAAAAAAGGATTGATAATAACACATAAATGTACAATACATACAAAGATACAAATTATACAATATATATGTTCATAACATAGAAACAGAATATTTCATGTCTAAAGCAATCTTCGACATGAACCTAAAAACAGTCTGACGTATCAAGCTATACAGTGATTACTGGCCATACAGATACTTATAAAAACATATGTCCATGAAATAGGCATTTCACAAACTACAGTCTAAATAATACATTTCGTATGATAAAAAAGTATTTTAAAATATAACAGCAGTCTCATACAATGCTGAAATCATATGCAAAATGATCATTTTACAGAAAATATATATTGTATAAGGCTATGGTTTTACATAGGTGATTAATTCCTACAACCATAAATTTACTGAAAGACAGGATTTAAAAAAAAAAGTCAGTCCAGTTTTAGAACACTGCACAATGTATATGATATTTCTGGTATATTGCAGTGGTGCTTGTTGGGTTTGAATAAATGAGAACTAATGAATTGAGTAAACATATATATCTCAAAATAATTAAAAAAAATAATTAGTACATATAATTGGAGAAAGTATTGATATAATGGTGTGATAACAATATTCCCAGGGGGAGGCAGTGAATTGAACAGAAATCAGCAATAATTTTGAAGGAATTTTTTTTGGAAAGGTTAATCCCCCCCCCCCCCCTAATGGTACATGCACATTTCTCAATTGCCTTGTATATCGTCTCTACTTGTATAGAACTTTTAGACGGCAGAAAATAAGAAGCCTCAGCAATTTTAAATTTTTAATGTAGAAAAGCAATACCCTCTTTCAGAAGTAAAATAATTTTGGGAATTAAGACTCAAATCTAAATCACACACATATATCAAATACATTGCACAAAATGGCCAAAATTAAGCACCTATTTCTCTTTACAAAAGACCGACACACAATGAATATTGCATTATGATTTGAATAGCTGCGTAACAACCAACATGTATAATCCAATATATATGTAAGTACAAATATACATCACATTAATGGTGAACGCATGGCAAGCAGTATCATCATTTCATTCTATTTACAATGACTTGACACAATTATAGATGAGACCAGTTTGATCTTAACAATACTATTTTGAGGAAGAACATCATGGCAGTCAATAATGAGAGCAAAGGTAGATAAAGAGTACAGAAACATTGGCTGACATGTTCTGAATTTTATGAAATTCGATTTAGCTATAACCATAGCTATTTGGAGTGGTGGCCAGAGTTAGCAACAGCTTTGGAAACAAAAAAACTTCCCAGGCTGACAAATACAGAGCCCAATTCAACACCCATCTTCATGAGTTTGATGTAGCCTTACATGCATTATCTGCCCCCGCTAAGACAATGCAAACAATAGGTATGCGAAGGCCAGGAAGAGCCTTGCGCAATCTAATTCACATTTGTATGCAATATACCGTACTAAAAAGGTAATTGTCATGGTCATTCATAAAATAACGAAATGTTAATCGAGTGTCATGTAACAGCCTCTCAGCCAATAGGATGCCCTCTAACAAATATCCTATTTTATATAATCCAATTTGTTATGATATACATGTATGGATCCTATGGGATTGAATGACTTAATAAAGCCCACGCATGAACGTCTCTTATATATCTGAACCACGTCTCTAACATGGTGGCAGCGGTGGGATCGATCCTTAGACTTTCACATTTTTCGACAATTATCATCAAGTTCTGCATTTCCCATGCATGCTCACATCACTGAGCAACCCTTCTTCAGGTTCTTCATCCTCAAACTTTTCCTGAATTTTGTCCTACTGAAGAAGTTGTTGCTCTCCCCAACTACAGGAGCGGCCCGAGGAGGAGGAGGGGACCTCGTCCAGAAGTCTGTCTCATTGTTGTATGTGAATTCGGGCATGACTGCCTGATCTAAGGTAGTATCCCACCAAGGCTCGGCAACGTACTCCTCTTCCTGAACACGGAAATAAAGCAGAAGACATTTGTGAGTCAATTTTAGGGTCCATGACATATTTTCCAGTGATAATTGCTCCACCATCAATTACCTACTCTATTCTCACTTCAACCCTGGACCACAGTCACTGAATCCTATAATCCTGAAGCAAAATATCAGGTTTCTCTATCAAACAATTTCTGTGAATACAAAGAATAATTTCAACACTCATCAATCTTATTTGAGACGTATATGTTATTCAAATATCATGTTCAATTACTATATCTGTTTTCCTGAAAAAATTGCAACATTTGTTTGTTTATGAGTTTTAAAAAAAAAATCACCATGTTATCTACTTAATTGAAAAGAAACTGAAACCATTTGAGGCTATGCACTTGTTATTATCGGTACCTATGTTAACAGAACAAACCTCAAAGACACTATACCTAACACTAAGACATGTATCTTAAACCTAATCTAGAACCCTACTCGAACCTTACATTCCTCACCTTTGATCTGATGATATAACACCAGGGGGGTGTTTCACAAAGATCCTAAGTTTAACTTATATCTAAGTTGGACTTAACAATTATGGAAAACCGTTAGCATCTTAGAAAATGTTTTGTAAAAGTTATTTTAAATGGCATATAAAATGTCGATTCAAATCATTGATATTTTCTATTATCGAGGGGATTTCATGTTCTTGATGTGAAATTTATGAAGAGTTTAAAAATTTTGCTTTTGAATATATTTTATATTAAGGCTACAAATAGCTCTCCATAATGTTGAAGTCCAACTAAGAATAAAGTTTGACTTTAGGATTTTGGTGATACACCCCCCAGGAGCAAACTTTGTTCTAGGAGATATTGCTAAATAACATACAGTAATGCCATTTTCAATAAACAAACAAAATTACTAACCTGTTGCCTCTGAGGATTGGGCTGTGCAACCTCAGCTTCTCCTACTGCGGCATCTACTGATGCCTCTCCATCCGTCTTCTGCCCCGCTTCTCCATCCTTTTCTTTTTCCTCTTCTTTGTCCTCCTCCTCTGATTTCTTTTCCAGCTGCTTCATGACATCCATCATTTCTTCTGTCATCCTTCCTTCTTTCTCCACTTCATCGACATAGGCCTTTATTTCTTCATCACCTGATTCTCTGTAGCACGCTATAAACAATTCCATACCAAACTAAAAATTGATAACTCACGTTACAAGGCAAACTAATGCAGCTAAGAACGCTGAGGAAATCCTGACTGCATGCAAAATATGTACCGGTAGTTCCCCATTAACAAATGTGAGTTGTGATTTCCAGACATTGTCTATGCTTGTGTCTTTGTGTTCCAAACAACCAATCTACTGCATGATTAATGATTCAGAATTGATCTAACCTGTTGGCCACTGAATTCTCAAATTCCAAATACTAGTACCGTTAGGTCTGATGCAGGAACCAACCAGGCCTGGTAGGCAAAGGGGTTAAAAGCTAGTTTCTTATGAAATGCAGTTTCATTACAAGAACTCAAAGGCATCATAGACGATAGACCCGTAGTATCTTTTATGATTGAAAATGAATGTAATAAATTCAAAATGTCTTAGCCTTGCTGTATGATGCACAGGACTAGCTATGCAAGGGCTAGGGGGCAGCTACCCCCCCCCCCACAGAATGCCCTTAATTCACAATCAAAACCATGATGAAAACATGCTTGGATTATAAATGGGAAATTTATTTCCATGAAACGCCCCTTTACCACCCCCCCCCCTCTAAATTCTTGTTTGTTTGTTTTTTGGATAAAAAATAAAAAATAATAACAATAATTAATTAATGAAAGAATAAATAAATAAATAAAATGATTGAAACAATAGATTTGTTTTTTCTTTTTTATAAATATATCAATAAATACATCAAAAATATCATAAATGATTTGCTCTTAAATTCACCTGCAAGGAACATGTCTGTAATCAAAGAGAAATGTTGAAACTTGATGTGAGCACCCCCTGATATCCGTGATATGTAACTGTAAAAAGAGCTTCTGTTAGTGTTAGAGAATTCTTTCAAGAATTCATTCAAGGCCTGAACACCGTACACCTAATGGAAAGAAGAAGAAGAAAAAAAAAAACAAGAATGATGATAACATTGATCTATTATAGCTATAGGGCAGACACTATTTAAATATAGCCTTCAATACCTTCACACCAAAAATTAAGATTATCTGAATGCAAAATTCTATTTTGTACACTTTTCACACAGAATATTTCAGAAAAAGAGAGTAATATCTAGGGTTTAAAGCAATAGCCTGAAGGCAAACAATAGCAATCATTCCTCCTCATTAGGAATGGTTGGCAGCTATGATACTCTACTGTGCTTTAGTGAAAATTCTTTATATGCATTTGCATTCTAAATGGACACAGAATGATTCATTTTGTGCTTCTGAAAACAAGTGGGCCTTCAATAAGGCTTTGAAAATGAAAACAGATTTTTTTTCTCCCTAATGACAAGTGTAAGGTTGTTCCAAAACATGGTTATTATTTGACATTCATTGTCCTTCAGGATGTCTAGAAAACATGATGATAATAATGGTTTAAAAAAAATTAAGACCCCTCTAATATAAAGTGCCACTGATGAATTCCTAGAAGAACAGTACCTACCTTGACATCCTTGTCACATAGATCTTGGAGCTCATCCCGCCAGCTGATGTTCATGTCTGTGTATGAAGGAGGGTATGGGACTACAGCCCCAATGATCACCAAAGCCTTAGCAGCGTCTTCCCTCCAGGAGAGACCATTGGCATGTCTTAACGCCCATTCATAACACTGAAAGGAAGAAGAGAAATATATTATTTTAACCCATTGCCTACATTGCCTTTCATTGTCAGGCAAGTGCTGGAGAAGGCCAAAGAGAGACACATCCCCATCCATTGGAATTTTGTGGACTTCAAAGCAGCATTCGATACTGTCTGGAGGGATGCTTTATGGAAGTGCCTTCTTTCAGTAGGAGTTGAGAAGAACCTGATTGACCTCATCGAGTATAGGTATGATCAGACCAAATGTGCTGTCATCGTAAATGGTAAAGTTACGGAATGGTTCCAAGTTAAGACAGGTGTCAGGCAAGGCTGTCTTCTTTCCCCAAGTCTGTTCAACATCTTCCTTGAGTTCGTGATGGCAGATGTCAAAAACCTAGACAGTGGAGTACAGATGGGTGGCATACGCATTAACAACATCCGCTATGCAGATGACACCACTCTACTCGAACTCATCTATGACAAACTCCAAATATCAACAAACAAGCTGGTGGAAGTTTGTGGTAAATGGGGAATGAAAATCAACACAGCTAAATGCAGAATCATGACAATCGATGATGAGGAGACTTCAATAGATGGCAACCCTATAGAGAAGGTAGAAGACTTTGTCTTCCTTGGAAGTGTAGTCCCCTCGGTTACCAAAGATGTCAAGAGACGCACAAATCTAGCTTCCTGGGCATTTGGCAGACTGAGAAACAATATATGGACCAACCAAGATATTTCAAGAGCCCTGAAGGTCAGGATTTATAATGCCCTCATTCGTCCTATAGCCACCTACGGGTCTGAGACGTGGACGCTAAGGAAAAATGACCGGGATAAACTGGAGACCTTTGAGATGAGATGTCTGCGGACAATAGCAGGAGTCCATCTTCTAGATAAAATTAGAAGCGTAGACATAAGAAAGTCATTGAAAATCTCCAAGACAATAAATGAGGAAATATCCAACCGCCGCCTGAAATGGTTTGGACATGTGGTACGTATGCCACAGGAACGCCTACCAATACAAGTCCACACCAATGACTTTACTGTGCCACGGCCACCAGGACGTCCTCCCCTGAGGTGGAAAGACCAAATCCGCCAAGACTCTGGATTAAGCCTGGAGGCTGCCCAACACCAAGCCCAGGACAGAAATGAATGGAGGCAGACCACCCGTAGGAGCGCAAGGGGACACTCCGTCCTGTGCACTTAAGTCAGTAAGTAAGTCAACCCATTGCCTACAGAAGCCAGGCGATCCATGGGTACTAGAGAACTCAGTAGTCATAGGGTTAATATATACAGGTATACATTCAGACTTGGTCAGATCTATAGACATTAATTCATCCCAAATCGCTCCTTAGTTGTTTCTGTGGAAAATGAAGTAAACATTGTTAGACCTCAACGATTTACAGATATTATTACCCTGGTCATCAAATTCATTCCAGCACAATGTGCACCAGCTCCATGCACTGGGGATTATTCCTACCACATGGTTGCTGTGAGGGCATATATGGCAATCAATTAATATCACAAAGGCTTTCATTTGTGGTCCTACAGTACAGGTCCCCATTCCTCTCCTGGCTATGGAGTCGCACATGTAGATTAATGACTTGCCAATTAAAGGACATTATGTCGGGGATCAAACCGAAGACCTATGTATTGTCTGTCATATATCAACTACTTGTATAAAATGGTTGTGTCATGTCAATCAAATACAATGGAAACGGCGTGCATGGCTTAATTGTTCTGAACTAATACTACATCGCAGGAGTGAAATAATTAGTTCACAGAAATCCTCTAAAAGGTCTAGCAGTCCTTTGAGATCTGCTCGCCATGCCAAGCGATCCTTTCGAGATGTTAAATTGTTAAGGGATCAGGCTAGCTACTCAGTGAGACAGTATTTCGTATTAAGCGAAATATAAATCCAGATTATTATTATTATTATTATGTCACCATACTTACAGCATATCTTCCTGATGACCATCCTTCGCCTCCACTACCGGTGGTTTCCTCTACGAACTGGACCAGATCAGCCATGTCTGCGGAGATGTCGTGTTTCCTTATAACATAGCTGGCTTCATCACAGTAGTCTCCATGAGCCATCAGGCCAATCTGAATGTTCGGTATGTCAGACATGAGGCGGGTGACAGTGTCTCGCAGATGATCTTGGATCTGTAGAATTGGGCACAAATTAATCAAGTGAAACCTGTATACAAAGACTGCTCAAGGGATACAAGAAAAATATGTGGTCTTTATAGGCAGGTAGCCTTTATGTACAGATTCCTTTACTGTAGGTTTCAATGAAAAAGGTTTTCAAGGGAAATGAAAAATATGGTCTTAATAGTGACAGGTGGTCACTATAGCAGGTTTTGATTGTTGTTCATGAGGGCTAAATAGTAATTACGATATCTGCAATAATATGATTGCAGGGGCCTCAGGGAGAACATTATTAATACTGATGAGGCTACCCTGGGCCCTTGGTACACAAGACATTTTTGTATTACTACTTTACTACGAGTATTGTGTGCAAAGAGTTTATGCACCAACTTTAATAAAACATCAAAAATGTGTGTATCGTCAGTGGCCCTATTGTAAAGTTAATATGGACATTGTATGAGTTTAGGGGAATTTGTGCCTTCAGCTCATTTACTTTTTTTCTGATGGTCAATGAAAACTATCCCCAATTCTTACATACAGTGCACATGTACTTTTTTTCTTTTTCAACATTTGACGTTGAAGACGAATACTATGTCCAATTATATGTACTGACAACATCAAAATCCTTCTATCTTCATTGAGTTCTACCAGGGCACCGTCTTACAAATTAAAGAGTTGATTTCAATCGCAATTTACTTGTGAATAATATCAATCGGAACTATGTACATTAGAGACAGGAGACTGCAAACTTGCGATTGATTAGAGGACTTGCGATTGATTTGGATTAATCGTAACTCTTTGTAAGACGGGGGCCCAGCAGGTGTAGATTTGTCAGACCCAATTACAAAATGACCTTGAATTTGACCTTACCGTTGACAGGAGAGCAAACATGTCTCCATTTGTGTCGAAGGAAAACACAATATCCACCTTCCGTCGCGAGGTCATACTGGAAGCAAAGCTGTTCAGTACCTCCTATACAATCAAAGGCAAAATAATTGAAGCTTTGAGTTCACAGATAACCTAAAGTTCTTGTTTAATAGTTCATCCTCTGATTCGCTCTCTCTTTTTATACATTGAACATGAATCATGAAATAGTCTAGAATTTCAATTTTCAATCCACATGTTTAGATTGACTCAATACTATTTTCACATAATACATGATTGGTTGACGAAAACAAAATTAAAAATGAAGACACGAATCTCAATATTTTAATTTATACATTATACATAAAGGGAAGTCATAATTGAAATGCATGTTCAGTTCCTTTTTAATCATATAAAAACAGTGACAAAGACATGAACAAATAGTTTATACTGTAGTACAGCATGTTCAATATGTTAAAAATACCTTTAAATGTTGGGTGAGGAATTAAAGATGATTAACATCTAATCAACCCTTGCATTTATACACAAAAGACAAATGGGATGGCTTCATTATGGTATGAGGAAGGGAGAAAGAGGTGGGGGAGAAAAATAGTACTAGAGAAAACAAAATAGCAATAAACAGATGATGAAAAATGCTAAGAGCATTGTGGAGGTAGAGAGCAAGCAAGAAAGATATAATAATAGAGAGAGAGAGAGAGGGGGGGGGGGGAGGGGGAGGGGTGGCAAGGGGGAGGTGGATAGAGAAAATGAACATAAATAAAACAATTATGAAAAATTGACACAATTAGAAGAGATCGAAGCAGAAATTAAATAGAAGAATAAAAGGTAACATGAAAAGAGTTGAAAGAATGTTCAGTAAAACAGAAAAATGAAGAGTGGAGAGAAAATCTTGATTTCATTCATTCAACAAACCTGTCTCTCTCCTTCCCCCATTTCTTTCTCCTCCACGATCTTTGGACCATTGGTACACTTAACTATGATGTTCTCCCCATCCTTGAGACAATCTTCATAAGCATAATTCTTCATCTCAAGAGTCATGTCGCCAATCTTAATTCAGAAAATGAAAAGATTTGGGTACGTGAATTTTTGCCCACTTTATATTGAGTTTTGCTTGAAATTGTATCATTTCTCTCCCCCAAGTTACAACCATCATTCAAGTTAAAGTTATAGAGCTCAAGATAAATGTAAAAGGTGGGTTTTAATAATACCCCCTTCACATACACAGATTTTTCTTAGGAGTCCTTACGGATCGCGAAACTTCACTGATCGTTCATGGATCCTTACGATTTGACCACTTTTACGACCTATTTAAGAGTTGTTACGAGTTGTTTGATTTGATTTGATTTGATTTGATTTATTGGTTTCTGCATCTTTTTTCTTTTTTTTCATCATAACATTTTCATGAACATAATATGGCTTGATACAATATTTCAAGTGTATATAATTTTATACAGATAATAAGCGATATTAAACACATATATTGAATTTAAACAAATATATTGAATGCATAATTAACAGAAATAAGCAAAGTAGCTTGACGTGCCGGCAGCTACTTACGGTTTATTACGAGTTATTACGATGTATTTATGGCAAAATTCCACGAGTTGCTAAGAATACGTATCACAGATAATTACGATCAACTTACGGGCAAATAACGACCTGTTTACGTGTTAATACGAATAGTTACGAGTAATGCCTGGATGACATTTGCCCCGGGCGCCGTACAATAAATTGGTCTACGATTTTTCATGCGATTTTGGGGGCATCGTAGAAGGCTACGGGCTACGATGTTTGTGTTTACATTATCTACGAGCATCGTGCCATTTCTTGTATTGGCCGTCGGGGGCGAGCCGGGGCAAATCCATACAGAGGCTGCTCGGAGATCATGCAATTTCAGTGCAGTAGTCGTGCAGTCTCCGCACGGAAATCGTACTAGGCCCTTGCAGCTTCCGTGCAGAGGTTGCGCGGAGAAGGCGCGGTGACCGAGCAGCCGCAGTGCTAATGTTTGCCTCCATGATTCTGTCATAACATAGCATGATGCACAACACTGCACATGGTCAGTAAATAAAATTGAAAAAATTTAAATTTGTAAATGATAAAAGTTTTAATTTCAATTGAATAAATATTTGTCAAACAGCCACAAAAGCAAACGACAGAAAAGTAATTGACAGAAAATCACAAGAAGCATTCATAATTTTCTTGTTTCTCGCAGTCTTAAAACAAAAACTCTTTCATTTAATGAAGAACATTAACTTTTATTTTATTTACGGGGTATGCTAATTGACTTGATCTCTGTACGGTACTAAAGTGGTGTTACCCATGTAATATGATAAGTATTAAGAGCAATATTTATAACTGTACTGTATTGTACTGCACGATTTCAAATTTATTCATGTTTCCAACAAAACATTACAAATCAATTATAAGCATTTAAAAGAAATGTAAGAAATACATGTTGGAAACAGAGGGGTCCACTAAAAAGCAATGCTTGTACAAGTGTGAACACCTCAAATGATAATAGGAATAATGAGTAATTAAATTAACTAATCTGTAACTACAAAAAACTACAAAATAGGGGAAAGAAAAAGGGGGATGCCAACAGAGACGAGAAAGGGACAAGACAATATTTTACACGACAAAGATAGAAGAACACGGTCATAATACAAAGAGTAGACAATGGGGTTACCACGTACAGTGCTATATTTGAAAAGACGACCTTCGTCATTGCCTTGTTTTCGTTCACATTCTGCCCCATTAATATTCTCCTGGTTTTCCTTATATCGTCCAAAAATCCCATTCGTTTTGCACGTAGTGCTTGTCATTCCTAGTTAGGTGCTTTCCTCATGTCCTTTTCCATTCAAATTTCATAGGCATAGTCTCTAACATCTCTTCAAGGTCACTACATTCTTCGATTTTCGAAATCACTCATGCATAACCGTCCAGGCGCCATTTTGACCGTTTCTGGTCCATGTTAAGGCCTTTCTATCTTCCTTCCTATCTCCACTATCCTAGATCCTACAAACTTCTAATAAATTCCTCTACATAGTCTAAGAGATGTTCTTTAATCTGTGACGTATAACCTGCCCTTCAAAATGCCATCTTCATACATACTCAAAATTCAAATCTGAAACCGACTCCATCAAAAATCTCTAAAATTCTTGAAAAATTGACCCCTAAATATTCTAAAACTGCCATAACTTTCTCATATAAATTCTGTTTTGTATTTAAATCTCACAGTATCTTTATCCCATAATTGCACATAGACATGCCAAATTTCACGCTCCAATGGTTCTGCAAAACATAAATAGCGCCCTCTAAATTTCTGGAAATTGGCTTTCTTTCTGTGGCCGTATCTCCATTATGGCTTGGCAGAACCGTACCCTTTTTTGGATTAAGATACTTGAAGATATGCCCTTTCCAGCCATATACAAAATTATATACCCTATCACTGACCAAATTTGAGAAAATTACCCTCCAAATTTGCCATTTTCAAGAAAACTCTGAAATAACTTCAACTTGCCCTAAAATAGCGATCGTTATACCTACATCAATGAAACTTGGCAGAAACATGTATCCATATACTGTACGTGACAACTGTTTGCTAAGTTTAGTAAAATTAGAATATGTCAGCGCAAAGTTATCGCCCAAAAATGATGAATTTACTATGCATTACGTAATAGCGCGTTTTCTGCGTGCAATATATTGCGCGCAAATAACAATGGTGTCAAACTGACCTCAATGAAGTGCCCTTTCGAATGATACCAAGTATGGTATATGTTCACATAGAAAATTGTGAGTAAATGGCATTTGAACAAAGGTCACTATACGAATTCCGCTGAGTTTCCGCCCGAATCTAACACGTATCGGCTAGGACGTCATTTTTTCAGACTGCTTTTCGCCCCTTAAATGTCCTTTTTTTTCCTTGAAAATTTGCAGTGGCATACCAAGTTCCAATATGCAGGGCACCTCTTGGCCGGATTTTTGAAATTGGTCAAGGGGGCCATTCAAGACACCATTTTGTTCTATAAATCTATTTTACATCATGTGTTTCGATAGGATTGTCATAGAAAAAAAGAGAGTGGTTTACAAAAATAACCATGAAATTCTCTTTCTAATGATACCAAATACGGCCCATATATAAGGAGACATAAAGAGAGAGAGAAAAAACAATTTAACTCCGGTCATAATACAGATCCTGTATGTTTTCCGCCCATGCATTACACGCATTGTCTATGGGGCATATCGGGTTCATGCTTTTGGCCCCCAGAACGATCTTTATTGCAATGACGAACATGCACCAAATCCCATTGGTTTTTACACGCAGTGCTTGTCAGCCCTTTCTAGGTTCCCCTATCCCAATTTCTTTCAAGCTTCGTAGGCATAGCCACTACCATCCCATCAAGGTCACTGTTGAGGCCTTTCTTTCGTCCTACGAAAGAGGGTGGTTTACAAAAACAACCATGAAATTCTCTTTCTAATGATACCAAATACGGCCCATATATAAGGAGACATAAAGAGAGAGAGAAAAAAACAATTTAACTCCGGTCATAATACAGATCCTGTATGTTTTCCGCCCATGCATTACACGCATTGTCTATGGGGCATATCGGGTTCATGCTTTTGGCCCCCAGAACGATCTTTATTGCAATGACGAACATGCACCAAATCCCATTGGTTTTTACACTAGGTTCCCCTATCCCAATTTCTTTCAAGCTTCGTAGGCATAGCCACTACCATCCCATCAAGGTCACTGTTGAGGCCTTTCTTCCGTCCTACCTATCTCCAATATCACAGAAGCTTACAGACTTCGTACACATTGTTCTGGATAGTCCGAGAGAAGCTCTTTCGTCCCATCTTTCGTTTGACACGTAGAAACATGGAGTCATTGCACGCACATCGTTGTGATACGATTGCATTTCTAGTGATTCTTCTTCTTATTATTATTATTATTCTTGTTATAATTAATACTCACATGCAATGTATAGCGATACTCGTTAAAGAGACTTGGTGTAGCTCTTAATTTGCTCAATATTTCGGAGTTGGCTGATGTGTTGTAGATAGCTAAGGAGACGACACCTTTATCGTTACCGGGGAGACGTATCCTGGGGAGATGCAAGTGAACCTTCAGGGTCTCCTTCTTCAGAAGCTACAGATTTAAACAACATTGAACATGAAAAACATGGTTTATTACAAAGGAGGCAAAGGAGACATATTACACATCTGTTCATATTTTAGTCAACAAAAAATCCTTTTTTAAATATTTTCTTTTTTAATATTTCCTTTTAATTCTTACATAATTTATTTATTGAATATAAAAGAAATTATGTGGAAAAAACATTCAAGCCTATGGCTACTGCCTAAATAAACCGGATAGCACAAGGAGGAGAAATAATACACATCGTGACTTTTCCATTTAATACAAAAATTAATTTAAAAAAGCGGGATGAACATACAATGCAACAAAATACAACGAACATGTCATGTGGGCATTCAGAAAATTGGTTTGAATATCCTGTATTATATACCTCACTTAAGAAATCCAGCCATCTGATTGGTCGAAATTGCAGTCGGGATTTTAGCCATTAATTCCCGTAAAGAAACGAAAAATGCCAAAACCAATAGTCCAAGAGTAAAATTCCGGCAAAATTCCAGTTACCGTAAAAAAAATAAAATCTTGCTGCGATACCCTTTGGTTTACGTGTTAAAATGTTCTTTGAGCAAGCGCGGACACCACAGTTCTTTTTGTCTGCGATTCCCAACTGATTGAAATTTTCAGTCATTTTTCGGGCGGTGATATAAACAGACAGTAGACCCTATATCAGATTTTCTGTGATGTTTTAACCAATCTTTACTTGATAAAAGGATAAGGTATGAATTCTTGGTAGATTTTTGTTGAATTCGGCATATAAAAGGGATATCGAATGCTTTAATACTTGAGGACTGGCTGTTTCTATACTGGCTCTCGGGAAATTTGCCTCTGCTGCACCCGTCGGCGCGCCACCCACCCATGCGCGCCTCGGGTGATAGCAGAGGAGGCAAATTTCCCTTGAGCGTATAAAAATAGCCAGTCCTCTCATAGCAGTCGATATCTCTATACTATTAAGTAGACAGTAGACCCTATATATAAAAAATTATATCATCTAGCTCAAATAATAACAAATTTTAAAAAAAGGACTTCCGTCATGGGCAAGACGCGGTATAGATCTATGAAGAAAAGACATTATGTGTTACAAAGTTATCAAAGTTATCCTGCGTCTTCCAATTATCAATCAAATTCAGATGAATCATAATGTTTGTAGCATTCATAATTCAGTACGTGTCAGATTCATATCTGCATATCTTCAAGCTAATTTTATCTTCCTCTCCTCGTCGACAATCCAATCACCAATGCAAAGACATTTTTAGTCTCTTTAAATCTAAATTAGCCTAGTACCAACAAAATTAGCTGAGTTAATTGGGCTTGGAAATGAGCTGACCTTCACTTTCAATTCCATCTCTTCTCTGACGCCATATCCATACATAGTCTGGCTTCTCTTCAGAACTTTACCGCCGAATTTGAGAGTAATAACATCTGCCGGTGCCTTCTCCTCTTCCGCTACCTTCTCGCACAACTGCTGGGTTGTCGTCGTCGCGATTACGGGGATGCGAACGGTGCGACCGCTGGTCAACTTCACCTGCACGTCTTTCGTGTCGAAACCCATGATTTACGTTTGGGTCGAGATTCGATTCTGAATTATTAACAGACTACCGTTTGTCGACTGTATCACAGCTTCTTGTCTCAGGGTGTCAACAGGCAGGTAATGTCTTCTAATTATGGTGAAACACCAGAATTTCGGCTGTTTTTATCAGTGCCTCTTTTTCCGTGTTGTGGATGGCTTTTATACGGAACTAGCAGACGTCTATTTTGGGTAACCAATCAGAACCACTCCAGCAAAGCATAGAGAGTCAATGCTAATGCGTATTGACCTTTAGCACTGCATACATGCTGTGAGGCAGAATACACAAATATACACACCACACAATATCGCAAGGACTCTACACAATCATGTCGATGCAGCTATAAGCAAAGTTTGACACTAGACTTACAATTTTAATTTTAATTTTAAATTATTCTTTTTAACATCAGTAAGTTGAAAAAAATGTATTTTACTGCTATTTAGGTGTCATCAATTGTCACTAAAGTACCGATTTTTAGTGAAATCAGTTGAGTTTTGTACAGTGGTGTTTGAAATGTTGAGAATCAAAAGCACAGCTTTTACTACACAGCCAGGATAGTGATGCTCCCAAAGACGTTTAAATATATGCTCCTATGTATATGTACTTATGTGTGATCAGAACCGTGTATTTTGCCTAGCGCGTGTAGTATTGAGCTAAATATAGCTCATTCCGTCATGCCAAAAATAAACACGTACACTATACTTTTTGGACACCGTGAAAGTTCTTGCCAATCTTGGGCGTGTCTCGATCTGGGGCGTATATTATGCCTGCGTGAGTATATGAGCTTGTATGAGAATCGCAGTAGAAGAAGATGAACGGGAGGAGAAGAGGAGAGAAGAAGGAAAAAAGAAGAAGGAGAAGAAGGAGAAGAAGAAGAAGAAGAAGAAGAAAGAGAAGAAGGAAAAGAGAAGAAGATCAAGGATAAAAAAGAATTTAAAAAGAAGAAGAAACAGCAGAAGAGGAAGAAGAAAAATATATAAATATATTTTGATTTAAAGAGATAGGCCCAGAAAGATGTGTCAAAAAAGGGTGAAAGGAGGGATAAACTCACATATCCCTGGTGAAAGGAAATATACCGTCTGTAAAAACAAACGAATTAAGAAAGAAAACAAAATGGTAACATTCTATATGTTCACAATTAAGCCTAGCTACGTACATGACTTTGTGGAAAACGTTGTAATCTGGGGCCAGGGTTGGGGGGGGGGGGGGAGAGAGACTTGTGATTTTACTTTATGGTCACTATCTCATTTTTTAATAAAGACGTTTCCCTTTATGATGACCTTAAAATAAAAAAATCTAATTGTTTTTAAACACTTATACCCATTCACAGTGGCCTCAAACACCGCGACAGCAGCGGGACTGTCCCGCTGCTGTCGCGGTGTTGTCTTCAGTGTGAAGGCTCGGACCCGTTATAAACTATCGCGGGATAACACCGCCTAGCGATAACGCCGACACAAACTATCGCTAGGCACGCCTAGCTACAGCAGCGGGACAGTCCCGCTGCTGTCGCGGTGTTTACTCAGTGTGAAGGCTCTCCGCTATAACACCGCGACAAACACGTGTAATTTGTTTACTTACCTATCACTGACCTCTGTTCTCCAGCAATGGGGAACATAACGTGAAATAGAAATAAAGTAACCAGTGGATTCAAATTGATTTTATTATTATGTAGATATTATAATTATCCAAATAAAAATATTTCACACTTCAAAAAATTAAAACATTCTGATTGGAAGCAATAAAAATGCTAGTTTTTTAAAAAGTAATATGATCGAGGATACAAAAAGCAACTTGACATGTTTACGAAAACCCCGCGCTGAAGTATTTCCGGTCATATCGGGGTCACTCGCGGGTCATGAGCCATGCATACACGTTTTGTTACGGAGGTAATAAAAATCACCCGCTGCAGCGTGAATGGGTTCATGATATTTATCCCGCTGCTGCAGCGGGATAACTTTTCTACTGTGAATGCATTTGTAGCGGTGTTATGGCGGTGTCGCCGCTCCGCTACAACGCCGCTACAAATTTTAAAACCACTAGCTGTGAATGGGGTATTAGTTACAAATTTATATACTCTTTCTGGTAAGTTAAAGTCGAATCGGCCATTTCTTGTATCATAATCAAGTAAGTCAGTAACAAGATCGAAGTTGGATCGAAGTTGGATCGTATATTTAAGGATTCGAACTAGTATATTTCATGCACGTGATGCGATACGAGTTGTTTTGATGTTTGGTTGACTTCATGGAGTGGATAAGACATAGAGCATATTCTGATCCTTGAACCTCGTAACTCGCAGGGCCGTAGCCAGAGTTTGATTTTTGATATGATTTGATTTTTTAGGTGGTCTGTTGTCAACAGACCACCTATTGTTTTCGTCAGAATTTTCTTCTTTATTTATTTATTTATTTATTTATTATTCTTTATTTTTATTTCTTCCCGTTTTTTGTTTATCGATTAACTCAAGATCGGTTGTGTTAATTTCTTTCAATTTTGACACAGTCATAGGTCATTGTCATGATACGTGACAGGAACATTTTCAAGGTCATCAGGTCATCGTGACGTCATCCAGGCGCCATTTTGTGAAATCACGTTATCCATCATATCTTCGTGATGCATAAGCAAAGGTCATTCATATTCATATCACATATACTTCAGGTCAAGGGTCAACAGGTCATGTCATCAAAGGTCACATAAAGGTCACGACGCGCACGTACACGTGCGTCAAAATTTACAAATGCTCAAAATCACTTAACTATTAAAGGAGAGTACGAATCAGGTCATTTTAAGCATTTCAAAATTTTCCGTCCGTAAGTGTCCCCGCGCGCGTTGCGCGCGCTCATAGCGCGCGGAAAAGGTCAAATTCAAAATTTTTACATGATTTAAATTCCTCTTACCGTAAATGACAATTTACTTTTTTTTTCAGTCACCCTTGACCTTTCATAAGGCCGTGAGCGCGCGTCAAAGTTCAAAATCCGCGCGTGCTGCTATGGGCAATATAATGCAAATTTGATCAAAAAACATGCCATTTTAAAAATCATAATAGCTCTTCAGATAGTCCATTGACCCCAACTTTTATATCATGGTTAGAAAAAGCATGAGTTGGAGATATGATTCCATGTCTCATTTGAACCCTCAATTGACTCATGACGTCATCATAATG